GTGTTCCTCTTGTGCCGCCACTCTTCCCAGCCTGTGGGCCTTTCTGAGGTTTTTATCTTTGCGAGGAACAGGGCAGGGGAACGGCAGCCCCGCAGCAGGGAGGGAGGGAGGGATGCTCTGCAGCAGGGAGGGATGCTCCTGCCCGAGGACCAGCAGCAGCTCAATCGCCCCAAAAGCAGACGTTAGGTCATCCTAAGCCCCGTCTAAACTGCTGTAAAACCTACGTCACCTTTCAGACCAAAGCTGCCCAGTCAAAGGAGCACTGATACCCACCCGCACACAAAAGGGAAGATCCAACCCCAGCGCTGGGAGCCCCCTTTTCTCGGGACCAGGACCGCGTTTTCCTGGCACCCCGTGACAGGTGAAACGAAGTGGGTTCCCCTCAAATGAAGCCAGTCGTAAAGCGAGGGGCTGAAACTCACGGGCGAGCTGAGGAGCCGCGGAGCAGGTTGCTCGCAGGAACGGAGCCTGCACACCCGGTGGCAGCAAAGAAACGCGGAGGAGCGCGGGCAGGGACCGGGCAGGCAGCACGGAGCTGCTCCGGGATGGAAAGATGTAGATGCCCAGACTGGATGCTATGAGCACAGAGGTAAGAGGCAGAACCCCATCAGTGCCTGGAGAGTCAGGGAATGGCAGAAGTGATGCCAGTACATGCAAAGCACCAGGTGTTTTTCTAGTGTGAGAATCCCACCTTGCTTTCTAAACACCCTTTTTGGGTTTTTAACCGAAGCCTGAAGCATTCCCCTCACTCAGACCATCAGCTGCAGGTCCACGCCTGCACTACTCTGCTTACATCACCGTGCCAGCGCTCTCTGCCCGCTGCAGTTCCCAGCCAGACCCATCTCTGCAGGACCCCCAGCCCCATCGTGCTTCAAAACGCCAAAACGGTCCCTCACGGTGCTCAGCTGAGCTCTGCACCGCACAGCCCCAAGCCCACGGCCAGGGTAGGAGCCCCAGAGCACTGAGAACCTTTCCAATAACTAGCACCAGGGAGAGGCAAGTCCTCAGCCTAGGAAAAGCCTCGCTGGATGCCTACAAGGCATCAGGAACAGGGTGTAAACCCAGAGCATTCGTAAATACTTTTGCACAATTCAAGGTTTGAAGGAATAAGTCTTTCCCAAGAGGGAGCTCACCCCAGATCCAGCTCAGCGCGGTTAGTCACACCCAGGGGGAAGCAGAAGCAGAATGGAGGAGGTAAACTGAGTCACACAGCTACTTCATTAAAACGTTATTTCAAAATAACAGACACGAGGGGGATCACGACTGTCGTGTTCCCCAAGAGCTGAGGTTGGCCAAGGAGCAATTTCCCCTTTGGCTGTGTCAAAAAGAATTAGCTCTATTTTTCACGTCAGCTCGTATTGTTCCATTGCCATTTTTAAAGCCTACAAAACACAAAGTAGCCACCTAAAATTTTTACTCTTGGCTATTTCCAAATGCGAGCGGCTACAGCGAACAGTCTTTGGGCTGCCCGCAGATGACAGTGACAAACAGATTGATGGCAACGAAGTTTATTTTGCCTCCTTTCACAGCTGACAAAATTTGCATTGGTATTTTCGTGGTGCAGACTCCACCTTTCATCTAACGTGATTAATGTCGTTGTAAATACAGAGAAAGAACCAGCTGCTTCTGGCTTCTTAGCTCCTAACTGAGCAGCTGACGGGAAAAAAAAAAAGTCCTTTTGTTCAAGCATTTCTAGAGCCTCTGCAGACCTTATGAAGAGCCTTTTATTTCAAATGCTTAGAGAAATGCGGTGCTTAGAGCTGGTGTATCCTGCTCTTCCCACTACAAACCAGGACGGTGCCTGCAACCCAAGCAGCCCTGTGGTGTCAGGATGAGTCCCCCCATCAGCTGGGGCTGTAACAGGGCATTGGGTACAGAAAGTTTTGCTCTCGTGTCTTTGCAAGATGCCCCCCTCAAACCCTCTGACAGGAACGAAGTGGCCGAGACACAAGGGCACACTCACAGACTGAACACGCTCCGTGTCCCCAAACCACATCATCTCCAGCGTGGGTCTGGTAAACCAGGGGAGCGTGGTGTGCCACGAGGCTGAAATTCAGCGAGAAAAAGAAAAGCCTTTGGTAACAAACAGCAGGAAGGCGCCGTTTGCGAGGAAGCTGCCGAGAGGTGCCAGCAGCTCGAGGCAGCTCCTCGGCTCCCGCCTCGCACCAGACTTCTTCCTTTTGCCCATTTCTTTAGCATTGACCCCAGTTGCAGCCCCGCAGCTGGGTGTGGGGCTCTCCCTGCCGTCACCCAACCCGTCCACCCCAGGTTTTGCTCCCTCTTGGTGTGAAAACGCACCCGAAGCCCCAACGCACCCTCGCCCAGGCAGTCTGGAGGAGCTGAATGAACCTCCCACCCCGCTTGCCATGTTCAAACCAGTCCTGGAGAGAAAGCACAAAAGGTTTTGCCTGGCAGTGCAGAGGCAACACTGCCGAAAAGAAAGCCGGGTGAGGGCGGCTGCTGGAGCGGGCGAGCAGGGCTGCCAGGAGGATTTGAGAGCCTTTATTGCCACCAATTACAGAGTCTAGTGGCCCTGCTTGGCAGGAAGGGAAAACAAAGCCACCGCACGCTCCCAACAGCTGCTCCTGCCCACTGGGGATGCTGCTTTTGTGGAAAATCTCAGCATTTCTCTGTGACAGTTGACAAGCACAAGCCCTAGGAAAATGCAGCAGCGCTAGGAATTTCTTCTCCAGCTCCCCCCGCCCACGCTTGTGCTTCCACATAAGTTTCAGGCATTGCATCTCTCACCACCCTGGCTTGGTAGTGACACGGGACGGACAGACGGACAACCTCCAAGAGCCAAAGGTGTGCATAAAACGTGGTGTGCGCAGAGCAGAAGTGGCAGCAGGGCTTACCTGGCGCTTTGGAAGGTCGCAGACGCTGATTTTCCAACAGCCCCAAATCCAACTCCCACTGCCAGACCCTCTGAAACAGGAAAAAAAAAAAAATCCAGTAAGGTCAAAGCCCACAACAGCCTTGAGCTCATCTTTCCTCCTGCGCTCCAACAGAGCAAAGGGCGGCAGGAGCAGGAAAGCAGGACTCTGGGCAGGTCGTTACCCTTCTCGTTTTAATCTAAGTGCATTTAATCTAAGCTCAATGCAAGAACCTGCCACGCTGTCCAGCGTACTTCCTCGCCACAAACCCAAACCAGCAGTTTCTCGAGAAGCCAATGTGGAAAGAAGAGATCCCTGTATTTCTGAGAGCACTGGAGGGGAAAGGCTCCCAATCCCCAACGGCTGAAATGCTGTTTTAATACGGGGCATTGCAGTGCAAGACACCAAAGGCTGCACAGGACTTGGCAAACCTCCCTGCAGGAGGCGGCTCTGCAGGGTCAGATGAGCTGGTGCCACAGGGAGTCGCAGAAGAATCAAACACCAACTTGTCCCTAAAGTCTCCGGGACCTGCGCTAAGCCAGGACCGGGCTCCCAGCAACGTCATCTCCCTGCTTACAGGTCTCCCTGTACCCAAATACCAGCCCAACACCTGTACAGACAGGCCTGAAAGCAGCAGGATACCTAAAATCCACGAGAAAATTCCCATCTTGCAGATTATTTTAGGTTACAGTTAATCCTGTTATTTTAGATTATAGTTATTCCCATAAACCCCAAAGGAAACCAGCCGAGTAGCTCTTTGGGGACAACTGCTCCATCGTTCCCCGCTCCTCTCCTGCCTTTTCCCAAACTTTTCTTACCCTCCCACCACTGGCACAGCAACCCCGTCCTGTCCAGAAAACCCCCAAATCTTATTTCCAGAAACCATCAATCCGCTCCTATTTTATTTTTATTTTTTTTCCCTTTGTTCAGAACCCTCGTTTTTTGTTTTTTGCAGTATCGCTCCCCTCCGAGCCAGGCAGGGGGGGGGGAAAACCATTCAAAGCACAAAAGCAAACCTGTTTGTGAGGCTGGCTGGGTTTTACAGCCTTCAAAAAGGAGGTAATTACCCGCTCAGGCTGCTGGCAGCCACGCGAGGGGACAGCGGGGACCGCTCAGATGAGCATTCAGACAGGTTGAAAATGTCACCGAGGGTGTTTACCTGCGTGCTGGAGGATGAGGTCTCAGCAGAAGAGGACCGTGTACGTGTGTGTTTGTGGTCTTCTGAATTTCCAGTTGCCTTGGAAACCCACCGTGAAAAGCAGCACTAACTCGGATAATCACGGGCATTTGCATCTTGGAGTCCAGGCTGAGTGCGGAGAACTGAAACGCTTGACAGCTCCTCAGAGCCCTGACCCAAGGCTCAGGATGGAGACAGGGGACAGGAGAGCACAGGGTCAGGGGGTAAGGAGAGTCCAAATCATCCTGGACGATAACTCCATCTAGTGACACAGCCAGAGGAGCCGGGGCACACGCTTGTGCAAAGCTCTTGTGAAAAGCTCTCGGGAGACGGGCAAGCACCCGGTGGCAGGAGCAGAGCCGGGCAGGGCTGTGACCCCCAAACGGGCTGCCCGTGGGGCTGAAGGTCTCTGCTCTGCGGGCAGGAAGGCAGATCTTGTCACCAGCTCAG